ATTGGTTTTTTAATTTAAAAAATGCAAAAGAATGTCTGAAAAACATAAACAAGCATGGTGTCATGATATGATCCCTAGAAGCTATAATAAACAATATAGAAACCATTTGATGTAGAATAACCATTTGGTGTCGAAAAATAATGGCAATAAACTAATATACCAAATATTTTTCGGAGCTTTGCCAAGAGTCTTTATAAAAATGTCGGCAAAGACGGAAAGCATAATCCATATGTTTGCCTCTTATTGGCCACAATATTAATTGATGGATTGATGACATGGCAAGCCCAATCATGGCAAATCTTCATGTTCTTTCTCTATGCATACACACGACTCCACCTCTCGGTCCCGCACGTCTCATCTCTATCCTTGGAGCATCAACATCCAGACCTAGCTAATCAGGCCCTCTAAACATGTGCGGACACGTCTGCAGACGGTGATCGGTCACCCCTTAAATATCCGCTTTCACAATCGTGCATCTCTTTCACTAATCTTCAAATCTATACAATCACATGAAAAGCAAACTAAACTCGTGCAAAATACATTTTGATCCCACACACAGCGTCCGGCTATTTCATCATTCACGCCATCACATTATAAAAAATTAGCATGCTCTACTTCATCACATATATGACATCGGACCACCAAATATTGGCATGTTCTACATACTAAAGCTATGGACAAAGTTCATCCATGGGTGCCCTTGCCCTTACTGGCTTTGTCGCGGAAGCAGTGGTCGAAGACGCAAAATGGATCCAGTTGGTTCTGCTCACTGCTGGAGCTGCCTGACACATCACTGGCTTCCACATTATCGGCTTTGGGGGCAGTCCGGCCATGTCACGAACCGCCCGGTTTTGCTTCATTGTGAGGGCGCACACCGTCCTCCTTCGCCACTTCTCAACTATGCAAGCACAGAGGGCTTCCTTGTCCAGGGTAGTGTGCGAGTCGTCCTTCGCGACCTCTGCCTCAAGGGCTATCATGCATCCCACGCCCTCTGTCTTGCATCGCCGGCATGCCACACGTCTATAGAGGATGGGCCGTGCACATGTCGACGTTGGCCTCCGTCTTGGAGCCAGACGCCGCCGGGACCAGGCGCCACCGAAGGTGTTACACTATCACCCCAGAGTTGCGCGGCCAACCGATGGTCGTTGCGTCTGGCAAGGCCACGGGCACGTGCCTCGAGCCAACAGCCCTGACGGATCCAAGCGCCATCTGCACAGACGAGATGGATTCCTGGCGGATCGACTCTGACCGTGATCGAGCGCACTCCTTCCACGAGCGGCGGAGATCCATGCAGACGACCATCTCCTCCTTGTCCCTGCTTGGGATTAGGTCCTAGTTGACTAACCCGGAAATCTCGGAGTCAAATCCGCCGCCAATCAGACCGGAGAAGGTCGGAGATTGCCAAAAAGGAGGTTGGGGCAGAGTGGAGTGCAACTGCTAGGGTTTTGTCTGAGATGTGGATAGGGACAAATATATATGGTGTCAAGGTGGGCCAGCGGCCAGCGTTGACCGGATCCAACTTGACGGACGTGCATGCGCGCGTTCGACCCACCCGAGATCCACCCCAGATATGGCTGGATATGATGGTGCCAGTCAGCCCAGACGTACAGTGTAGATTTGAGGAGCCTAGTTGAGTCACGATTTTGTGGCCAGCCACTGATCGAGCGTCTGCCCAGATGTATAGGGCGTATAGGGTGCATTTCACGAGCCGTCCGGACGTATAGGGCGTATAGGGTGCCTTTCAGAGTCCGGTTACAAATGCTCTAGTTCGCTCCCCGTGATTTCCTCCCCAAAGTGTCTTCCTTGATGTCACCCCCGCCACCAACAACCTTAGGTCGCCCGAGAGCCGCCGCCCTGCGCCCACGTGACATGAGTGGCGCGACATCCACGCGACGACGGGTACAACCGCAGCTCTCATGGCTAATAACCACTTTACCGATCGGCACATCTTCCAGGCAGCTGCCAACAGCCGTCAGCTTCAGCATGCCCCCAACCTAAAGGTACTTCTTGCCAAGTGATCTTCACTCTAACCACGTGACACATGTGGTAAGCAATCTGAACTAATAACAAAAAAAGTGATCTTCACTCTACATCACTGCTGACTAAAGATTCCAGATCGAAGTGTTGCCACAAAGCAATTTGGACAAAACTAATGACCAAAGATGTGCAACTTGGACAAAAATACCGAGTCTACCACTATGTTATATGGTGTAATTATATTAGAAGTCTATAAGTATGTCTTTCTTAGAAATGGACGCAGAAGAGCTGCCTCATTCCATAACTACAAAGTTGAGATACATTAACAAGCAACAAAAAAAAATATCACAGGCTCTGAGAAACACAAGGACAAAAAATGTCTACTCTCCCAGGATGATATTTTGCTAAAAAGCATGCTTTTATATGATAACACCTATGCAAGATCTGCTGACATTTTTGTGTCGTGTTTGCATATTTCTTACAGTCAGAATCATGAAACAACGCATTATACGGATGTAACTCTTCTTTTTTCTTTCCTGAAAACAGATATATCCCCTACCACTCTTCCAGGCTGTTAGCTGTCTATCTGTCACAACCACAGAAGCTCTATCTCAAGTTTGCAATTAAGACTCTGCTTCAAGTTAACGGGTGCAACCGAAAATCATAACACAAAGGAACAAATGGCAGTGGTGAGTACCTCTTTGGCTCTCCGCCTCCTGCCTCTCCTCCTCCTCCCTGTCGCCGCCATCGCGGCCAGTGCATCCATCGGCTATGGTGTCATTGGTACCAGGATCAATCAAACTGGTATCAGGTTCAATCAGACAACATCGCCTACAGCTGCTAGGCCCTTGCCTGCACCCCCGGCCAAGGTAACACCTACGACCCCAAGTGCTCAGCCTGCACCCCCGCCCAAGGTAATACCTACGGCCCCGAGTGCTCTGCCTGCACCTATTGGGACAACAAGCATGGAAGTGAAATCCTCCTCTGTAAGAAGAGTTGTAGCAATTTTAGCTCCTGTAGTTGGCTTCATTTTGCTTAGCATCTTGTTCCTCGGCACCTATTTTATACGTAAACGAAGAACACAACAACAATATGAGATGGAGATGGAGGAAGAGTTTGGGGAGCTACAAGGAACACCAATGAGGTTCACATTTCAGCAGCTAAAAGCAGCAACCGAGCAATTCGCAGACAAGCTCGGGGAAGGAGGATTTGGGTCTGTTTTCAAGGGTCAATTTGGTGATGAAAGGATTGCAGTAAAACGTTTGGATCGAGCGGGTCAGGGCAAAAAAGAATTTTCTGCAGAGGTTCAAACAATTGGCAGCATTCATCATATTAATTTGGTCAGATTGATTGGTTTTTGTGCAGAGAAATCGCATAGGCTCTTGGTATATGAGTACATGCCAAAAGGATCCTTGGATAGATGGATCTATCATCAACATGACAATGATTCACCTCCCCTGAATTGGAGCACGCGGTGCAAGATTATCACTCACATAGCTAAGGGTCTCGCTTATCTTCATGAGGAGTGCATGAAAAAGATTGCCCATTTGGATATCAAACCACAAAACATCCTCTTTGATGATGACTTCAATGCTAAACTTTCTGATTTTGGACTATGCAAGCTCATTGACAGGGATATGAGCCAAGTGTTTACCAGAATGAGAGGCACACCTGGATATTTAGCTCCTGAATGGTTGACATCACAGATCACGGAAAAGGCTGATGTCTATAGCTTTGGTGTTGTGGTCATGGAAGTCATCAACGGAAGAAAGAACCTCGACAATTCTCGATCCGAAGAGAGCATCCATCTCATCACCCAATTGGAGGAAAAGGTGAAGACTAATCGGTTGGTAGAATTAATTGACAATAAGAGTAACAATATGCTGGCACATAAGCAGGATGTAATTGAGATGATGAAGCTCGCAATGTGGTGTTTGCAGATTGATTGCAAAAGAAGGCCTAAAATGTCCGAGGTAGTCAAGGTCTTGGAAGGTGCCATGAATGCAGAGAGCAACATTGATCATAACTTCGTTGCAACAAGTCAAGTGTATTTCGGCGCTGCTGGAAATGTGGTCTCATCGGTTCCACCTCTAGCTTCACATGTATCAGGTGCCAGGTGAAATGACAAAATGTTGACAAGATAGACAATTAGATTACAAGCAGGACATGAGATTTTATTATGTAAAGCAAATGACAAGTCTGTTTGTATCTTCTCAAATTATTATAATCTGAAGCCCCTTGTCTTGACTTAATTTTACCAGCAATATATTTCAATATTGCAAACCTTCTTGTTCTACAGCAGCTGGACTGAATTTAGTCATTAGAATGTTCAATTTTTTCATGTAATGCAAGTCTGTTTTCAGATCAACTAATGCACGTATTTTTCTAGTCATTGTAGTTAAAACTAACAGCATGTTCCAAAATGCTCCTAAGCAATTAGATTATGAGCAGGACATGAGATTTTCTGATGCAAAGCAAATGACATGTCTGTTTTATGTTCTCAAATTATTACAATCTAAGGCCCAACTTTATCTGAAAAATAGTTCAACATTGCAAACCTTGTTGTTCTACAGCGGCTGGACTGAATTTGTTCATTAGAATGTTCAGTTTCTCCATGTTATGCGGCTCGAGGGGAAACTTTGATCCTCGGATCGGGCGGTGGCGGCGCTCCGGTGTCGTATCCTTCCTGAAGGCGCCGTCTGGGAGCCTACGGTTCGTCGTATGCGGTTTCGGTCTCTTCACGTTAGTGTCAGGGGTGGTGTTGCTGCGCTCAACGCCTACGTATCCTGCCTTGGGTGTGTGCGTGTGTTGTGGTGGCGTGCGTTTGTACTTGGTGATGTTGATCTTTGCTTTATATATAAAGCGGGGCGGAAGCCCTTTTTAGTGAATCAGTGGCATGTTCCAAAATGCTCCTAGGCTCCAAAACAGTGGAGAAATGGGCATAATGAAAGAAATTTTTGGGACTAACTACTATAACACGTATCAGTTAGAAATTACAAACGCTTTTTGAAGTCATGTAATGCTCCCTGTTACCTGGCAGCTCATCTCTGTTACTGTACATGATTTTTGGACTAACTGATACAGATTCATTAGAAACCACACATTGTACATGCATGACATCATCATGCATACTTGGCAGCTCATCTCTATTACCGTTGCAAGCATTCAGAAGAAAGTAAAAGGAGGGGGTCAACAACAGCAGCAGTAGTAGCGGCTGTAGGCTGCATTGGGACTGGGGAGCTGGTCAAAATCGCCACCGCCGGAGCACCGCGAGGAAGTGTGACGGGCGACAGAGGAAGGGGACGGGTGGGCACTGTTGATTTTTTCTCTCTAGTCGATCCGGGCCACGAACGTTCAGACTTACGCGTCAACATGGGCCATGTTATTGGGCCAGTTGAAGACGCCTTCTTGGCTGGATTGCTTCACTATTCCTTGATGCAGTAGCAGCGGCGCAGCTTGTTCTGGTCTCTGAATCAGGTTCCAACTGCAATGCTTTGATGTGTTGACATGGCAATATATTTTACAGATCCCTAGTATTATTAACTGTCATATGGTTCAAGCTAGGGATTAAATTTGCAACACCAACCTCCTGCCATCTGTCCCGTAGTTCCTCATGCATGCTTGTGCAGAGCTTCACAAGGCCAGAGACAGCATGTTATCCGGATTCTGGAACAGCAGAGCGTCTTGTAGACATATGATGACAACAATTTTTCAGAGACAAGAACTGGTTAGGTTAATTTGTCCAACACTAATGAGATAGAAAAAAAAATACCTCAGCTAACAATATTGCTCGATTTCCTCAGAAGCGGAAAATACGGCTCAAACCTATCGTGAATCATCACAAGAAAAAAAGTATAAAATGCTATGAATATGGGATTTTGCTGCTCCTTTTCACCACTACAGGTAACTAACAATGTTGGCAGTTGGTTGGGCAAATTATTTGTTTTTTCAGTGGCCGTTCGAGGATTTTGGTGCATTTTTTAATCCAAAATTTTAGGACTTTTTGAGCTTGCAAAGCTATTTGCTCTGTCTGGAGCTACAAGAATAATGGATGAATGGAAGGAACAGACCTGCAAAGTAGTAGTTGGGAGGTATACATGGACAGGAGGTAGCTGCCGTTCCTGTGACACTGGCAGCCACAAACTCTTCCCAAGGCTATCCTTTTGGAGGATACTTCTCAGTCATGAGAAAGAGACTTGTGGGAGAGTAACCTGAGAAAAATTCAGAAAGGTATGCAGGTATTTTTTATTGTGAAAAGTTCTCAGATTTGTTCAGTAGCCAGTAGCCACACACACAAACACATTACATATCTATCATTTCTCATTTTGACCCCATCAGGTTCTTCTAAACCTAACACCACCCCAGCCTTTAATTATACAACAATAGATCAACCCTCCTGGATGTTCTATCATCTACCTCCAGACAGACCTGTAATGCTGTTCGCCACTGACGGAGGCACTTCATCAAGAACCTGATCGACATCTGTAATGCTGAGATACCCAGGAGAGAACTCGGGCAAAGGTAAATCCCCATCAAGGTACCGCATGATAAGGCGGATGCTGGGCCTCGCCACAGGTAAAGGGTGCGAGCACAACAACCCAAGCTTGAGCACCAGCTCCGCCTCATCAGCAGCATACTCGTCCAGTCTTGGGTCAATGGTGTCGACGATCGAGCCGGAGCCGCTCGCCCACGTGTCTCGCACCCATTGGACGAGCACCAGCAGCTCACCGCGGGCGTTGAACCCCACGGGCCGCCTGCCGCATGCCACCTCTAGGACGAAGGCACCAAACGCAAACACATCTGTGGCCTTGGTCGCCTTGCCGAACCTTGTTAGCTCAGGGGCGAGGTAGCCCCTCGTGCCGGCCACGTGGGTAGTGTGCGCATCGGCACCATGGTCGTGCAGCCTGGCAAGGCCGAAGTCACCCAGCCGACCGTTCATCTCCCCATCCAGGAGCACGTTGCTGGCCTTGACGTCACGGTGTATGATGACTTGTTCCCAGTCCTCGTGGAGGTACAGAAGCCCGGACGCAACGCCTTTGATGATGTGAAGCCTCTGAGACCAGGAGAGCATTGCATGCCTCGTCTGGGCATGCAGGTAGCTATCCAGGCTGCCGTTGGGCATGCACTCGTAGACCAGGAGCATCTCCTTCTTGTGCCGACAATAGCCGATCAAGCGAACGAGGTTCCGGTGCCGTAGGCGGCCAAGGATGATGATTTCAGCTGTGAATTCGGCCAGCCCCTGCTTGGATTCTGAGGAGATCCGCTTCACCGCGATGTCCATCCCAGAGCTGCCCAGGGCTCCTCTATAGACTTGCCCAAAGCCGCCTTTTCCCAGAAGCTGCATGTCGCGGAAGCCATCCGTTGCCCTGTGGAGGTCCCAGTATGCGAAGCGGCGGGGGCCAAGCTCAGCCTCCCAATCTTCGTTCCACTCTGAGTTCCTCGTCTTGCACCACCACCATCGAAGGAGAAGGCAAGCTGTTATACCTGCAAGTATGGCAAGGGAAGATATAGTTGCAGTCACCCATTTGACGACTTTTTTCTTGTCATGGGCTTCTTGTCTGGAACTATCTTGGACTTGTATTAATGGCGGCAGCAGCAGTGATAAGTTAAGTGGTTCGGCCGGTCCATACATGTTAAAGCTCCACCCAAGAATCTGATGGGCCGCACACCAATCTGGCCAATCACCGTTGGAGGCAGAGAAACCGACGTATGCTGTGGTTGGAACCCCTGCCTTTGATTTGGTGTCATTCTTGAGGACCTTTGCAAGGTCGACAGGGTAGTAAGACAAAAGCGGTAATGAGGGCTTATACATGGCGACAGGAGCAAGCCTGATGTCAAGGTGCATATCGATGTAGTCCACCCACACTTGCATTGGGTTTCCACTAGAAAGCCTCAGCGGATTGAAGTCCTGCTCGACATTGCCGCTGTAGTAGCCTGCGGTTGAAGAGACAGTGGACGTTAGGTTGTTGAGATCAGCCCCGACATGGTTGTCATCTATATCTCCGAACTCCTTGTTGACTCCTGTGTCGAGCTCGATGGCGAAGAAACGGTTTGCAAGTATGGAACCGTCGTCCTCCTCATTGACAAGTCCCAAGTATTTCCCATCTGTCCAGATACCAGATAGCGGGGCCAAGGAGATGACAAACGCCATCCCGTCTCCGGAACCGCCATAGTCGCTGGGCGTAATGGAGAACACGAAAGTGGCAGAGAAGCTCATGGACACACCATGGGAATTGACAAACGGAAGAGGTTCTGGATGGAAGCCATGCCCCTGGGTGAAGTAGCTGTCCCTCGTTAGAGAGAGGACGCCTTGTTTTGAGATGGAAGCCTCACCGTCGAGGCGGAGCTTGCTGCCGGCGAACCCATTGTATATGAACTCCGTGACGCCATCAACGCCATCATGGCAAGATACGATCAAGAGGACGCACAACCAGATCAGACCTGGCATGGTGCTATATGCTGGTTTTCAGAGCAGAGTTTCTTTCTTTCTCCCTTTGGTTGTGTCATTGTGTGGAAGTGGTGGGAGGAGCAAGGCAAGTATTAATACTACTCACTGGCCATGAACTGCCAACCGGAGTCAACGGTGTAGTCTTTGCCTCTGCAGTTTCCTACATGTCAATTTCAGTTTGAACGAGTCCTTGATGGAGCAATAAACTTGTCTACGGTCTAGGGACCCGTCAAAACAGCCACACAGAATTATTGCCTTCCACACTAATTTCCCATTTCAAATATTTTTTTGGCATAGCTAATGAAATGATAGTTTTATATAGAGAGGTAAAAAATTACCTCGTTCTCTTTTTTCTTTTTCTTTTTTGCAGGGAAATTACCACGTTCTCTATGAGAGCATTCATATTTTAGATCACAATAATATTACCGAGATGCTCCCAGCCTTCCACGCAGCTGCCGCTGCCAACAGTCAAGTTTTTGTTCCAAAGTGATATTCGATGCTGCAGGTCCAGATCATGACCAATACGTGTTGCTGCTTCCAGAAGTGCCCTAGAGAAACCAAGACAGCAGCGGTGAAGAGGCTTATACATGGGGACAGGAGTAAGCCTGACGTCGTGCTGTATCTCATAGTAGTCCACCCACACCTGCATTGGGTTTCCACTAGAAAGCCTCAGCGGATTGAAGTCCTTCTCGCCATTGCTACTATAGTAGCCCGCGGTTGAAGAGCCAGCGGATGTTAGGTTGTTGAGATCAATCCCGACATGGTTGTCGTCTACATCTCCAAACTCCTTGTTAGCTACGGTGTCGAGCTCCTTGTTTGGCCTTGTCAAGGCCCAAGTATTTCCCTGTACAGACATCAGACAGCGGGGCCAAGGAGATGACAAACGCCATTCCATCGCCAGAATGGCCAGAGGCCCAGAGTCTGATAGGTGTGATGGAGAACACGAACCCATTATATGTGAACTCATCGATGGCAGCAACACCATCATACAAATAGACGAACAGTAGCACGCACAACCAAATCAGCTGGCTTGGCATGGGTGCTTTGCTGGATTTCAGAGTGGAGTTTCTTCTTTGTTGCTTCAGTTTTGTCTTTTGTGTGCGTGGGTGCTGGGGGTAACTGGTAAGTAGTAACACCACTCACTTGCCATGAACTGCCAACCGGAATCAATGGTGTAGTCTTCGCCACTACTTTCAGTACACGTCGATTTCAGATTTAACGAGTCCTGCGGTCCAGCGAGGAATTGAGGATCCTCTTAATGGAGCTGTAGACGTGCTCCGGTCTAGTGACCTGTCAAAACAGCAAGACACAGTCATTGCATTGCACAACGATTTCCCATTTTAACATTTTTCTACAAAGCGAACAAATTGACGGTTTTATTTAGGGGGATATATAAAATTACCACGTTCTCTATACAAGCATTGATATTTTGGACCGTGAGACTACCACCAACACGCAGAGTAGAATAAGCAGAGTCGACATATATAGCACGCCAGTCTAGTCGTACGAGCTCCATGTGGCATAATAGTCCAGTCAAGGCGTCCACATCTCGAGCCGCTCCCAGCCTTCCACGCAGCTGCCGCTGATATCCAGCCAAGTTCTTCTTCCAGAGTGATCTTGATTCTACAGGCCTAGATCATGACCTATACTAGATGCGTACAAGTTGCTGCCTCTACAAGTGCTCCAGATGGGTGGATTACATTATTTCCATGTTGGACAGGGAACCGAGACAGCGATGGCTGTGGCTGCCCTTCTTGGCTACACGTAGATGACAAGCTAATTAAGTCAGGTTACCGTGAATGAGACATTGGCGCCCCGTAGTTCAAGGCATGATAGTCTTTCTTTGTCCCTGGCCATGAACTGGTCTTTTACTACTCTCACTGGCCCATGAAATGCCAACTGGAGTCAGTGGTGAAGTAAATGTTGCTACTTCAGTGCATGTCGATGTCCGGAGTCAGTTGTGGAGTCAATGTTGCTGCTTCAGTACTCCGGAGATATTAAGATTCCTAGACTAAGTTCTTTCCATATTGGCCGGAGAACCCAAGATGACGAGGCTCTGGCCATCCTTCTCCGTTGAACGGGAATCACAGAACCATGGTGAATAAGACATTTTGGTCAATGAAGATGCCCAGGACTTGAGCAGATTCCAAACAGCTGCTGAGCCTGTGCTCTTATCTTCCTTCCAACATCTTATTCCAAACTGATTTCCACTGTTAAATCTCCAGACACTAGTCCTGACTGTCGCGGTCATAACAAAGCATAGAAAAGTCCTATTGCAGCCCGGTTCGAAGAAAGCAGCTAAATGCGACGAAAGAAAATTGGGATTTCGAGAGACTAATTAGCACCGAATGTCTAGTACCAACAAGTGCAATTGCTACTACCAATAGTCCACTATGTTTGGAAAGGTAGGAAGTTCCTTCATTGGCCTCTAAGCTCCCTTGGTTGCTTCACAGTTCCTACGTAATACTCCAGTTATATGTGTTAAACCAAACATAAGTTGGTTTTAGCTAGGTAAGTTCTAGTTATGTGCAAGCAAGCAGTCTGCGTGAGACACAGGGTTGAGTCCGGTTAGGAAGTGATCAGCGCTGCCGTATAGTCATGTTTGCTCATGTTTGAGTCCTGTTAGGCGTGGCCGGTAGTTAGGAAAGTATGGGCTTTTGCCAGTCCAGTTAGAGCTAGCTTTGGCGTATGGTATTTGGAGTTGGTGTTCGAATAGGATTTGTGTCCGGCTAGCTAAGGCGTCCCTGCGTGTATATATGCACGGGGTGTTGCGTGAGTTTTGTAACACCAAGAGATATCAAGAGAAAAAGAAGAAAAGAAATAAAGAGGAAGAAAAGAGGGCACGACAAGGGCCCTTGGCTATCAGTTTTTTGTGTGCGTGTGTTCGTGTAGTTTGATGTGATCGATCCTATGGGCGAATTTCTAACAATTGCTATCAGAGCACGGTCGATTTGAAGCCGCACTTGCCCCGGGTGGCGACCTACTAGCGCCTCAGGGGCAGGCCATATAGTCGCTGGTTGGTGCAGCGACAAGGAAGAGCGGGCGATATAGTCGTTGGGTGGTGCAACGACAAGGAAGGACGGGCCATAGAGTCGTTGGGTGGTACAACGACGAGGAGGAGCGGGCGATATAGTCGCTGGGTGGTGCAGCGACGTGGAAGATTAGGCGGTAGTCGTTCGGCGGAGCGACGACGAGAAGGCGGCGAGGACATTGTCGCAAGCGAGGCAATGGGTGATCGTCGTTCGACAGAACTACCTGGAGGAGGGTGACAGGCTGTCGTCGACAAGGCGTTGGTGATCATTGATGCTTATGAAGGTGCCAAAGTTGCGATACCGAGGAAATCATCGAGATCATCGTTGGAGGGTTGACAGTGGAGATGGCGAAGTTGCGAGCCGTCATCGAGGTGTGCAGATGAGTTCTTGTAAGGTGTGTCCAAGAGCTCAGGTGTGTGAGTCTTCTGCTACAGTTGAGATGCGTCACTGGCGGAGGAGAATTGCGAGCGAGAGCGGGCAGAAAAAGGAATTCGTGCCTTGCTTTTCTGTTCGTGATCAAAGAGTTCCGGCGAGTTCATATACGGTGAAGTTGAGTTGCACGTATATGACGAGTTGTGATGCCGTCGGACAAGGAGCGTCGTTTTGGTAAGTTGCATTGTGTCACCACCGACAACAAGAAAGTGAAGATGTGGCGGGTGAAAAGATGTGTCTTCCCGTGCACGAGCACCCGATGAGAAGATGAAGATCAACGTGAAGATGGATGCGGACCAGTAAAGTTGAGTTCCTGCATGAGGCTATGCGTTTAGTCTGCATGTAGCACGCTAAGTTGTGGCAGCGTGTCTGGTAGTCTGGGTAATCGTTGGTTTCAGTTTTCAAGTCGGCACAAAAGTATGATGGTGATGATGTGGTGGCCATCGTTGCAAGAAGAGAGAAGCTGTGGTCTGGTAAGTCGCGTCACCGGAGGCAATCGACGGGACAAGATGAAGAGGTGATCGTCTGTGTGTTTCGTCGAGTAAAAAGTCGGATGTTTGAATTAGGGGGTAATTGTTAGATAATCCAGACATAGGTTAGTATTAATTAGGTAAGTTTGAGATTACCAGTACGTATAGTCATGTTTGCTCATGTTTGAGTCCTGTTAGGCGTGGCCGACAATTAGGAAAGTATGGGCTTTTGCCAGTCCGGTTAGAGCTAGCTTTGGCGTATGGTATTTGGAGTTGGTGTTCGAATAGGATTTGTGTCCGCCTAGCTAAGGCGTCGCTGCGTGTATATACGTACGGGGTGTTGCGTGAGTTTTGTAACACCGAGAGATATCAAGAGAAAAAGGAGAAAAGCAATAAAGAGGAAGAAAAGAAGGCACGACAAAGGCCCTTGGCTATTAGTTTTTTGTGCACGTGTGTTCGTGCAGTTTGATGTGATCAATCCTGTGAACGAATTTCCAACAATATGGACACTGGTCATCATGCAGATCTAACTGAAACTTTCCTTTGAGAAGAGGGCAAAAAATGGTCTCTAGATACACTTCCGTAATAGTAGAACTTCTGTTTTTCAGAAAAAATAATCATTTTGCAGGAACTTGTCAAATTCAGAGTTGCTATGAAGAACTTTAGCTGCAAGATGAGAGACTTGCTGTAAAATAGTGACCAGAGGCATAGGAGATAGTTATGTGCATGGAACTCTTATGTCTGAAAAGATGAAAGTATTGCTTTCAAGTGTATATATGTTCAATCTGTCTTTCATGAACTTTGGAACAATATCCTACGAGTCAGATGTTTGAAGCTATGGCATGCTTATGTATGTTGGAAATGTTGAGTAGCATGAGGAACTCAGATGACGGGCCCATGGTTCGAGAACCAAAATGAGCTTTAAGATAAGGTAATCGCATAGGGGGAAAGAACTAGAACAGTTAAGGACTTTCGCCAAGTAGAACGATGCCTCCGAAGCCATTTGCTAAATTCCCAGGACAGCGGATGAACTGAATTGAAGTTAGAGAATGTATAACTATGCTAC